CTTTGGCCTGACTTTGGGACTTGAACCTATATGGGATACGATATGCATAGTAAAGACTAACTTTATTTATTCATATTCGATTCAATTTCAAGGGTATATTGTATTTGATAAATTTTACATATTATGGATTTATTTAATAATCGTAATGACCTATGGGTCTATAGCATAATAATAATGCTCCATAGGTTACCAGGCAAAGGTTCAGGGTTCAAACCCACCTGGTTACAAATATAAATACAAATGAAATGAATTGATTTTAGTGAGATGCATTAAAAATTAATTCATACGTATATATTTGTTTTTTAAATACGCTTACCTCAAAACAAAAAAATTTTGGTGTAATAATTTTTTCTAATAAGTTTACTTTTTTATACAAAAAAAAAAATAAAATAAACAAAGCAATAAATGCACTGTATGTCAATAATTAATATGGTGATTAAATATTTCGTATCAATTTAAGTCTTTTTAATTAAAATAAATTTTATCGATACGGTATAGTTTTTTTTCTTTACAAAAATAATTTTTTTCTAAAAAAAAAAAAAAAAACACGCACATTTGCTTGTTATTATTATTTTAAAAAACTTATTTATTCACGTCATATAATATTGCAGCAATTTCGAATAATAATTACTGTATGTCTTTTCATACTATTGATAATGATTTAGTATTAAGAAAGTTAATGTATTTTACTTTTCAATAAAGAAATCAATAAATTATTCTAACATTCGTTGCACTAATCGCCACAACGAATGTGTTCTGGAATCCTAACAAGGCCTACATACAATATATCATCTACAGTACATCATCTACATTCGTGACGTATCGATCGAGAACTTGTTCAAGCACGATGTACAGCACAGTAGCATAGGTAAGATGTGATACAGATTCGGGTGTTGGCCAAGTACAGTGTAGTATAAAAGAGCCTCCATGATTTACGCATGTGCATCATCCCAAAACATGAGGCGTATTCTCAAAACGCAAATATTGAAACGATTTTCATGTGCTCAGAAAAATGTGCCTTATTCTAGCGCAATAATAAAAGAGAAATTGACACCGTTAACTACACAACTCAAGGAAACCATCAAGGTATTGTTCCCGGAACAAAATGAATCGAATCGTACCACAAGGTTAAACTAGAGAATATTCACGAATCTTGTAGCGTGATGGGCCTATCTCAATCGCAAAGTACATGCGTGAGGCTTTGACGAATCCAAAGAGCGGTTATTATATGAAAGATGATGTATTTGGAGAAAAAGGAGATTTTATTACTTCCCCCGAAGTTAGCCAGATGTTCGGTGAGGTGAACTTCTCTTTTCGTTCCGCATCTCAAGTTTCTGTTGGTAGATCAAGGAATTTCGCAAGATCTAAGAAAATCTCACCATTTCTATTAGTTAATCGGGATTTGGTTTCTGACACAATGGATGAGTCAAGGCAAACCCCAAAAGATTCAAATCGTAGAACTGGGGCCGGGAAGGGGCACATTACTTGACGACATGCTTCGTGTAAATGAATTTTCACAGTGAAATGAGTGATATTGTATTTTCATAATATAAAAATTTTTTGTTTGCAACAAAAGGCAATGTCAAACTTTAAGGAATGCTATGAGACAATAGATGGCGTGCATCTGATAGAGATAAGTCCAGGAATGCGCAGAATTCAGAGGTTAAAGCTATGCGGGAATGTAGAAAACGGACGTGAAGATAATGCCGAAGTTGTCTCTCGGGAAAGTGACGGATTAAAGTTCTTTTGGCGTGATTCGATTGAAGAGATTCCGGGTAAATGATGAACCTGATAAAAAACAACTTTTCACTCCACAAAGGATTTTTAAAATTCACACCTTTTTTCTAGGGCGGTGGTCCATCATTGTTTCTCATGAATTTTTTGATGCAATGCCGATCCACGGATTTGAGGTGAATCGCATGAACTGATGCACAAATTTACAAACATTTGCTTCTCGACTATTTAACCTGATTTTTTTAATTTTGACGATGACCTACAGCTAAAAAAAAATGGGTGGCATGAGATCACAGTAGACGTGGATGATTCAGAAGACAGGTGAGCTATTTTTAGAGTTCATGAACTTATACTATTAATTAATTAACTCATTCATTCATTCACTTCCTTTATTTTTAAACATCAGTCCTCGTCACCTCCGTTTTGAATCATCTACGGGGCCCACGTCTCCCGCAGCTTTCACGAATCTTCCACCACCCGAAAAATTCAAAATCGGTGACCGGATAGAGATTTCGCCCGAATCATGGAAAATTTCCAAACAAATTGCGAAATACATCCATGATAATGGAGGAGCATCGCTTATTATTGATTATGGTAAGGACTTTATCCAGGGTGACACTTTAAGGGTAAGTTTCACATATAATCATGATGAAAATAATTATTACCACTTCATTGTCATTGCTTATTATTGTTTTTGTGGTTCGCGTTAGGCGATCAAAAGGCATAAATTTCTTCATCCCTTGTGTTTACCCGGTCTTGCAGATTTAAGTGCAGATGTAAATTTCCAGTATCTCAAGGAGTCCGCGAAAGGATTAGGTAACACAATACCTGCAGTTCATGATCTTCTTCCTAGAACAGTCATCAATTCTTTCCATTTATTGAACAGTTAACACCTACGGACCAATTACACAGTCAAGGTTTCTACAAACCCTTGGCATAAAAACCAGACTATCGATGTTACTCGAGAATGCTCCGCCTAACAGACGTGAGATACTGGTTTCATCATACAAAAGACTTATTGATCCTCTGTCAATGGGTGAAATCTATAAAGTATTGGCGTTTATTCCCAAAGGGTCTACCGGGGTGCCCGTTGCCTTTGAGTAAATAAAACATGTTGACTGGCAATAACTAATGGAATAAACATTTGAAATTTGCTATTATTTTGATTATGACAACATGAACCATGATTAATGGCGCGATTCCAAGATTTAAATCACGCGTCTGACTTCTTTCATAATCGCTCGTGCTAACAATGGTGGTACCGAATTACCAACTACAGTACATACGCACAGTACAGTCAGTATTAGGGAGAAGAGGAAAATTTTCTTTTTTAATTTTTAAGCGCTGAAATCTATGATTAGGATGGCTTACCTTGCCTATACTGTGAATTAAGATCCCCTTTAAATACATAGGAGTCCGAAAAACTTTGCAACCGCGCGGATTCTCGCGGCGAGATGTGACGAAATTCGGTGGGATGGATGTTGTCCCAACCCGGATTAATGGTGCACAACACAGTAGACGGAACCTGATTAAGTTTTAATCGTCTCAAGTGGTAAGGAACGGTTTTTAGGTAATTCATGTTTGGCGTTGCCGTCGTTAATCCTGAATCCGGAGATTAGATATCGTTTATGATAGATAGGCTGTCATTCATTCATTCATTAATAATTCACCTCGAAATACCGCATCCACTGTTGGCGTCGGAACAAGACCCATTTCAATATGGTTTGCACTGGTTTGCACCGAGATTTCACCATCAATAAAGTGAGTGGGCTTAGGCCAGTTTGGAAGATTTGATTCTGTTGGCACAGCCAACAATATAAATCTTTCTCGACGTTGACAAACACCGAAATCGGAGGCTTTCAAAATTTTCGTTTCGACTTTGTAGCTTTTTTGTTTATAGAAAGAAACATGTAAATAAAATTCTCGGAAAATCTTCTGACTTTGTAATATCCAAACAAACCAAACCAACTCACCCGACATCCATCAAATCGCTGATGAACAATTTATACATCTCATCACTTTTCTTCTGGTTACAAAATCCTTTCACATTTTCGAACACCAAAACCTTTGGCCTTAAGACATTCACTGCCCGAGGAACGTTCATCACCAGAACCATATTCGTCGTCATGTCAATTATGTTACCACGTGTATTAGCACCTGTAAAACCTTGACAGGGTGGCGCGGCCAATAAAACATCAACCCTTTGCGCATCCCCGATATGCTTGTCCATGAAACAACTGATATCCATGTTGTAGGTAGTCGCGCTGTGGTGGTTGCATAAGAAAGTCTCCATCGAGGATGTATCTATGTCGACACCCCACTTTACTAAAAATCCGGCCTGCTTGGCACCCTCCGATAACCCTCCCGCGCCGCAAAACATGTCAGCAACAGTGGGTTGCTTTTTGAGTTTGCATTTGAAGCAATTAAAATTCAAATTCTCAATCACACATTAGAACATGAACGACGCCACTTACTCGCCAATTTCTAGTTGAATTCATTTGGAGACAATAATCTATCAGTCACACACAATTACAGTAAAACGGGCACACACTATACGCGAATGAAATCTTTATTTGAAATGAGATAACATATCAACCAATTTATCATCGTAAAACGCACGGTGCATAATGGCGCGCAAAAACTCACTATCAAATGATTATACTGTATATTCGCACATACACAGGAAAGCCTTAAACGAGACCACGAATTAAATTGGTAAAAGATGTAAGAAAAGAAAACAAATCAAATAACATGAATAGGATTAAAAGTCCGATGTTGATACGTGTTATATGAAAATCAATGATGTAAACATTCCCGCTAATTAATACTTAAGAGCTCATCGTTATATTTAGAAAAGGAAGGACCAGACTCGGAGTGTGGAATAAAAATACATATTTCGTGACATCTGATTATCTTGACTTTGGAGAAACTTCGTGAACATTTTCCTCATAGATATGCATGCGCATCGAAACGTCATCTTTGGTTTGTTTTTTTTTCAGGTAAAGGAATAATACAATGTTCAATTCAAAATCAATATTAATATTATGACATGAATCGCGGGTTGATGATAACGAATCTTGGTGATATCACCATCTCCTTATGACACTTATCTTCCGGAATATGAAGCAAAAATGATTTCATCGTATGGGAGTATCCTTATGATGAAATAATTTATCAAACTGTGCAAATTAACCTTGTGAATTAACCAAAGTAAATTGTATCGGCATTGTAATTTGAATATAAAGGAGCGAGAGTTTTACGAAAATCTCATCAGACCAACCTTTTTTCTCTTCAGTGATTCAGCTGCGAACCATCTTTTTTTTCCATTAAATTTCACCTGTCATAAAAACTCATCAAAATGAATACTGCTTTCGGAAAAGCTTTCGTCTACCTCTTTGCTCTAATCTTGATACTTGCCGTTGTTGGAGTGGAAAATCAAAGTAACATTTTTTATTTTATTTCATTCCATCTTCGCTCGTTATCTCCAAATCTCATTTTTCTTCCGTAACTTTACTTCTTAAAGCAACAACTTCCACAAAAATGACAACCGTCACTCCAACTTTGACGACGACAAAAACATACTCTCCAACGACTACAGTAATCGTCACTTCCACTGCAACTTTACCAACTCTGACCCCGACTACCACAACACTTGGAGTAACTTCAACCCCTACTCCCACTGCCGGTGCCTCCGTCTTGAAATCCTATGGTTTTAAGGCACTTGCTGGTGTATCCTGTGTGGCCGCAATCTTTATGTTTCTCGTTTAATTCATGTGATTTACTGTACTGAATTAATTGGTGAGGTGGGCGAAATCAACATTACATGTAATATTTAGTATTTTTTTTTCTTGTGCGCGAACATTGCTTCCATTATGCAACAAAATCAATTATTACGCTTTGTTCTTCACATTTGCACACAATAAAAATTTTTTTCTCGTAGAATTATATGGGAATCCAACTCATTACAATCAATGAATTAACTCATACGAGGTTCGACCTTGTAAATTTTCAACTCTAAGGATGCATCGATACAATAGGTTTTACATCATATACGCCCGTCTATTTGTTCATCGACTATTCCCTCATTGTCTCGCATCATCTCTTTTTCCTTTGGCATTTGACGGCTTCTTTAATTAATTTTTGCCAAATTTTCATCTCAAATTCTGTGATAAATGATTTACGATCGTCATATTAATTATTCCGAAGCTTTTTTCTATTACCGTGGTTACTGTAGTTAGATTAATTTGGTTTCGTAACTACAGTATTTTTGAAATAGCCTTCACGATCACTGTGCACCATTATAATATACAGTACAATAGATTTTATTGATATGTTATTTGTAGATACAATATTATCGATTCAAATTGATTAGTACAATCATATCATTTTGGTTTATTATTATCACGGTATCTTTTAATTCACTCCATGCTTGGAATATTATTGAAAAAAAAATTTATTATTATTATTTTATTTTAAATAGTTATAATTGCATATTTAAATTGCTTAAAGCAAATTATTCAATTATGTAATTTTCATTTTTATTATTTTTTATTATTTTTGATGTTTAACAGATAATCTTGTTCAATTCAGCTATTTAATTATTTTATTCTTGAATATTTTGAAATTGTACAGTTGCCTCTCACTATAATCACATTCTTTTTTGTCACAATTGTATTATAATCACTAAAATTTATTGCTTTAAA